TCTGAAATGCATTCTTGATCAAAGGTCAGACTGTGTGTGTATTTTCCAAAAGACAGTGAGGAGACATGTATTCTTCGTACTCGGAGAATAATCTCAATCCTTAAGTTTTTCTTTGTAAAACAGAGATTAAAACTCAGAGGAACATACTCCCCTTTATCCCCACCTTCCTACTCTGCATTCGCTCACTGCTTCTAGTGGATTGCCTATGATGGTGTCTTACAAATAGAAGGTGCTAAAAAAATTAATTGATCAATAGTATCCACTTGAGATATAATAGGCACAGAAGAGTTCACCTAAGGATCTTAGGACACTTTGTACTTATTAACCAATCAACAACACTGATTAATCACATGTAATTTTCTTTAAAAAAGAAAAATCACTTGCTTGTGGTTTTATAAAAATTTTTTTGAAATTAAATAATTTTAAATAGCCTAACTTAAGCTAGTTAACAGGCCCTTCATTTGTGTATTATTCAAAGACCTTAGAGTTTTACCCGACTTGACTTTTTTCTCAAAATTCAGGAAATCCTATTGGCTCTATCTTCAAACATGCACGCTCCAACCTACCAAATTTACTACTGTAGTCAAAGCTGCCGCCATCTATTGCCTGGATTACAGTACAGCCTTCTAATTTGTTTCCCTGCTTCCACTCTTATACACGCCCATTCCCTCCCCACACACCTGAAATCACTTCTTAGGACAGCAGCCAGAGTCATCCTGTCAAAATGTACATCTAATGATGTCACCACTCTGCTTAAAACCTTCTAGTGGCTTCTCATCTCAGAGTAAAGCCTAAGTCCTTACAATGACTTACAAAGCTTTACATGATCTGACAATCTCTCCCGTTCGCCCCAATACAACTCGTTCTTCCTACTTCTCCATCCAGCCCTGATGGCTGCTTTGTTGTTTCTGGTATATGATGGGCACATTCAAGATCCAGCCTCTTGTATTCTGCCTGGAATGCTAGCTTGTTCTCTTCCTCCTACAGGTCTCTCTACTAAAATGTCATTTCTCACTAAGATCGTTCCTGGACAATTTACCAAAAAATTGTAATCTTTCTCCCTGGTCTTTATTACTATATAACAATACCATATCTTAACTGTGTTATGATGTTTCTCCCAACAAAAATATGAGCAGGGAATTTTGTCAGTTTTATTCACTGCTATACAGACAGTGCCTGGTGCTCAATAGAGAGTTATTGAGTAAATAACTTTTTTACTTAAGTTTACTTCAGGAAAAATCAATAACTGTTAGTTATATAAGATACATTGAAAACTAGAACCACCAAAAAGTACCTTTTAGTCTCATTTTTAATCTCATGTTGTTCTCTTTTCTTCTCCATCATTTTCCCCCATCTATTCTTCGGCAAATCCCTCTGAGGCAATGGTATTGCATGCTGGACATAAAGGTCAGTCAGACTGTCTTTGTTTACTCTCACATCAGTTTCAACAGCTATGTTCTTCTGCGGGAAAGGAAACAAAAGCAATTGCAAAACAACATTTCTGATTTTAGTAAGTAACCCCCTTACCTGACAGGGTAAAACATGACGGCTTAAATAACAAACTATAAAAAACCATTTTCACAAAACACGTGCACTCAGAGGCAGCGTCACAGGTTGAATTCTGTAAATATCAGGTTCAGCCTCATCTTAAAGACCAGGGTCCTATTTTCTCAGTGTGACAAGGATTGCTGTCCACAACTGCTCAGCCAACACACCAAACATGAAAGATCATTTCCGGTAATATTATCTTAATATACAAAGGGGATTGAAAACGGGAGACTGCCCGGGGAAAAACAGACAAAAGAAAGCTAACAATGATTAACAATCACCACATTCTGTCAATAAGCTACTTTGAGTGTTACTATCATGATCAGATTAGTGGGATGAAGGTCTCAGTCTGTCTTATATTTCTCGTGCTTCTCTAATCTGGTGCTTCCTAAATTGAAGTTAACTACTAAGATTTCAAATCATACCACAGATAGAAACTGTTATCCCCGTACTGATGACAGTAGCAGTACATCATTAGAAAAGCCTGCACCCCATTTTCACTGGTCCTTTCAAGTAAGCCTCCAGTCACTGTCCAACCATCTCTATCTAAATCACCAAATTCCTCCTCATTTTCCAATTTGTTCTTGACATCATGAAAAACATGGCATAAGCACAGCAGTAGTCATGAAGACAGAGTTTGGATTTAAGAAGGAAAAATGAGAATGGAAATGAGATCACAGGCTCTTCAATTTCAACTCAGAAAGGCTTGAAAACATTTGTGTTTAGTACAACTGACAAGCCTATACCCTCTAACAAAAACTAATAAAAACACATTTTACTTCTCTTTCGTATATTGGACTTACCTATTTTTACCCTATACTCACTCAGAGGTAGGGGAAACTCCCAGGATTCTCTTGGATAACATTCCCAGAGAATTCATAGGCCCGTTACTTTGGAAAGTACTGCCTCAGGACAGCGGTTCTCAAAGCGTGCTCTCTAGGCCAGCAACCAGCTGGTTAAAAATGCAAAATTTCAGGCCACATTTCGGAACTACTGAACGAGAAACTGGGGACAGAGCGCATCAATTTGTGTTTTAGCAAGCCCTCGACTGATTCTTAAGTACCTAAAAAGTTTGATAACCAAGGTAAAAGCTTACTAACATAATTAAAATAAGCTCTACTGGGCAAGAGGACTTGAAATTCAAGAAAGATAGGGTACCAGGGGAAAACCATATGGAAAACAACAAAATACGCTACATAAACCCCAAGGAAACTTTCAGTAATTCTCTATCACTTAAAACATCACTTTTTTCCTTTCTCATTTTTCTCCTATTATTACAGGCCACACCAGCTGGAAAAGAGCACGCACTACATGGAGAGCCAGGAGCCTTGAATTCTCCTCCTGGCAGTACCATTTACAGATGCTGTGGCCTTAAACAAGTCACTTCATCTCTCTGGAACTGTTTAATCATCTTTAAACGATTAGAGAGGGTGTGCAACGGACGGTTTCTCAGATGCTTTCCAGTCCTGACAGTCCATGATTTCTACCTTCCATGTCTATTCTACGCTTCTTCCCCACTTCCTTTCTTCCTCAGGTCTGTGCTTATACATAGGCAGGGGGTGTCGCCTGGGATTCCTCTTTACAATCCATCGGGACTCAGATAGATAAGCCCTATTTCCCAAGCATTCCTGATATTCTACGGACGTCTCTTTTTCGGAGAGGGGGCGAGGAGCGGGAGCGAGGCGACAGCTGGCTGGTTTGCGTGGGTGGAGAGTGGCACAAACCCGGCGGGAGTGTCAGTGGTTGCCGAGGGCTACTTAAGGCAAGCTCAGGTGCAAGCGCCTCACCTGGGAAGGCCCACCGTCCCGCCCTCCTTCCCTGCCCCCTCCCTCCGATCCGGCGCGCCCAACCTGCTCTAGAGTGAGGAGAAGGAACTCTTGGGACAGCAGCTCCGGGTGCAGCAGCAGTTCCGAGTCCGTGCAGCTGCGACCGCCCACATCCCCCGCCATCGTCGTCGCCAGGAGACCCCAGTCGGCTACCCACAAAGCCCCGCGAAGGAAGCGTTCCGGAAGTGACGTACTCGGGCGGAGACTCGAGTGTGTCGTCACTCTGAGTGCGCCGCATGCCGGGCTCTTTCTCTCGCAGCTGGTGCGGGTGTTGGGGCCTGGTCCAGCTTGCAAAAGCTCGCAGGGACCAGAGAAAAGAGAACGATGTCAGACGTAGAAACAAATGGCGTGTCAAATTTTGCAGGAAGGGAGGGAAGAGTGAAGCTCCGGGAGCCGGCGACGATTGGTCGCGCTTTCTGTGACGTCCAACGGCAGAGGTCAAAGGGATTCCTGGGGCAGCCTCAAGGGAAAGAATTCTGGCGCGGGGGGCCGGTATACAGTACTCTAAATATGGCAGTGGTTGTGTCTGAAATTATCGTGTTTTTCTTTGTTTAACCTGTTTCTTGTCTCTTCATCGCCCTTCTATATAATGTAAGACCAGAGGCTTTATTTAGTGAATTCCGTGTAACCCAGGCTCCTTGGACAAATAGGTATTCAAGTATTTGTTTCTTGAAGTAATGCTCTGAATTAACCTGCTCACATGTAAAAAATAATAACCGTCTGGGAAACGCCAGTAATAACCGCCAAACGTTTGTTAGACATTTACAGTGTGCCAGGGACTGCGTTTTACGTGTATTGTCACATTCCTCCAAACAGCCTAATGAGGTGTATATTACCAGAATGCCTATTTTTCAGATGAGGAAACTGATGCATAGAAAGGATAATTTACTCAAGAGTGAGGAAGTAGCAAGCATAAAATCCAACTACATTTTTTCTGCATGGATTAATAGCTACAGTGAAGTTTTTAAATTGCTGTAGATATCAATTATAGTCTAATTCCCAGTAATTCACTTACTAAGAAATATTTTCTGCTTCTCTTTTATCATTCATGGGAGCGATACATATCCGTAATTATTTTGCACATTTAAAACTTAAACTTGTTGGGTGTGGTGGCTTATGCCTGTAATCCCAGAGTTTCGGGAGGCTCAGATGGGAGGGTTGCTTGAGGCCAGGAGTTCTAGGCCAGCCTGGGCCACATAGTAAGACCCCATATCTACAAAAAAAAAAAAAAAAATTAGCCAGGCATGGTGGTGTCTCTGCGGTACTAGCTACTGGGGAGGTTGAGGTGGTAGGATCACAGGCGCCTAGCAATTCCAGCCTGCAGTTAGATAGGATTACCACACTGCACTTCAGCCTGGGCGACAGAATGGGACCATGTCTGAAAAAATAAATAAAAAATAAAACTTACAGGTATGTTTTGAATATTTATTGTATGCATCCTCTATGATGTGTCATTTTATTGGAAATTATTGCATTGTCTACAAAAATATGAAAAGCTCTGAGGATGCCAAAAGATAAACCTTGAAAGAGTACTAGAAGTGAGATCCTCAAAAAGAGAAAGCTGAGAAGTGTTTCCCAATTTTTCTTATTCATTTATGTATGCAATACTTTATGTCTAAAAACTGAATTTCAGAGCTGGGAGGAAACTTAAAAGTTGCTCAGTCTAGTTCTTTGAGGTTGGTGCCAAGAAAGCTGATCAGACTTGCCCAAAATTGAACAGTCTTAAATCTGAGCTGAGGCAGGCATCTGACTGTCTTAAATTGGAGTTAAATGTATTAGCATCATGGTATTAACATCATCATATTCCACATCTCAAATCTTATTTAATTTTCATTACAATAGTGAAGTAAGTGATTAGTATTATCCCCATTTCCTTCACTGGGAGGCACATTGTTTTAGTATCAAAAGCAGCTACCTTGGGAGAATCTGGGGCTAGAAACCTGACCTCATTTCAAGTTTTACTCTGTTGCACCAAAACCTTGGGTGAGTTACTCAGTTTCTCAGCTTCAGTCCCCTCATCAGGAAAATGCTGTCTTAGCACTTTCTATGAAGGATGATCAAAGGAGTGGAGATTATTATAGAGATTATAAACACACTTGACACAGAGTGAGTATTTAAGAACTGGCACCTGGTTTTTACAAAGTTATTGGTCATAGAAGGCAGGTTAGAGGAAAGGGCAGGCTTTGGAGTGGCTCAGAGTTGTATTATAACCTTGGCTTCTTTGCTTACCTAGGACATATACTCTAGCTGTAGCTTCCTCCCCTCTGAGATGGAAATTACAAGCCATCTCGCAATGTTGTGAGGATTGGAGCTCAAGGGTGTAAAAATGCCTCCTCTGTGGGCTCTCCTTGGAGACGTCTTGTATCCTTTTGATTGTCATCAAAGGAAAGAAGTGGCAGGATGATGGTGTAAGAAGGAAGAACTTTGAGTTTAATAGTCTGAAAAAGTGGTTACAGGTTCTTGCTGTGCTTTTTCTCTCTGCGGTTTTCTGAACCCATCGCCTAACCTGAAGCCTTAAACTTCATCTGCAAAAACGTTTTGTGGCAGGTAAGATGTCTTTTTATTCTTCCAGTACTTCCCAGTTTAAAACTAAGAGTACTTCCTTGCTTAAAACTAATTCTATTAATATTATTCTAGGTGCCTCTGAAGCAGAACTCTTGAGATGGAAGGATGGTCATCTGAGGAAAAAAAATCGAGATTAAGAGAGGAGGGACTAGAATGAGATTCACTTACCCTCGCTCCTCCAAGGGAAGGAGAGAATGGTGATGCCTGCCCAATCCTTCCTGGGCGGAACCTTTGTAGCATGGAACATTGGAGAATTTGCAGTCTGCTGACTTTCTGATTTAGGAGGTTGATGGGGAGGCCTTATAATTTGCATTTCTAACAAGTTCTGAGGTGATGCTTCAAATATGTCCAGGCAGAAGGGCCGCCACACAGAGATTTCTGCCATACCACATGAGAATTGAAGCCACAGACATCTCCAACCCTCAAGCCTGAAACCAAAAGAGTGAAAACCAAACACTACGGTGGACAAAGAACATCTCAGAACTTCTGTGGGGACCAGTGACACAAGGACCTAAGGTCTCTCTCTTCTCATCTTGGCACTTCAGTCGTCTCCCCAATCTTGACAAAGCCCTGGAGAAAGGGGCGGGCCTCCCGTTGATAAGATTGTCACTGCAGATAAATGGAGGTTTCAAACTGAAAGAAAGGAGGAGGCCCACTGCAGATAAATGGAGGTTTCAACTTGAAAGAAAGGAGGAGGGCCTCCCGTTTGATAAGATTATTGTCACTGCAGGTAAATGGAGGCTTCAAATAGAAATAGGTTTCAGTTACAGAAAAAAAAAATTATCTTTGTTACACATTTGAGTTTGCAGGCCTAAGGTTACTCCCGCTACATTGTCATCTGTAACCATAAGGCACTCAACATTTTAAGCTAACTATAAGGATTTTTGCTTCACTCAAAGACCCTGAGATTTTATTCACATTTTTATTTGGTGACTATAGTTGACAAGAACAAAGCTGTGGGGAATCAACAAACACTGCCATGCCTGGCATTGTCACCTCACTAGATTGTGCATTCCTCTGGGACAGGGTCCGTACATTGCCTTCGAATCCCTCACTTAGTCATTAGCCTGCACAGTGCTTGTACTTAGTAGGTGCTCAATAAATATTTGTGGAATGAATGCATGATGAACAAAATATATACTGAGGACTCTGGTGTTGATTCTTGTTGATAATGTAATAGTTAAGATATGTTATAAATATTTCATCAAAATATTGTGTCAAAAATATACTTGAGCAGGCTGGGCGCGGTGGCTCACGCTTGTAATCCCAGCCCTTTGGGAGGCTGAGGCGGGTGGATCACTTGAGGTCACGAGTTTAAGACCAGACCGGCCAACATGGTAAAACCCCATTTCCACTAAAAAAACCAAAAGTTAGCTGGGCATAGTTTTGGGTGCCTGTAATCCCAGCTACTCAGGAGGCTAAGGCAGGAGAATCGCTTGAACCCAGCAGGTAGAGGTTGCAGTGAACTGAGATTGCACCACTGCACTCCAGTCTAGGGGACAGAGCAAGACTCCTAAAAAAAAAAAAAGAAAAAAAAATTTTAATATATATGTATATGTAAAGTATATACATACACACAAGCATAAAGGAACTTCAATGTGAAGGTAACAATTTAAGCAATATTTCACATTTTGGACCTGTGGTGTTAGCTATTTAGAGCAGTTAAACTACTGGCTTGCTTTTAAATCCATTGTCTTAGTCATTTCAAGTTGTTACAACAAAATACCATATACTGAGCAGTTTATAAACAACAGAATGCATTTCTCAATTCTGGAGGCTGGGAAGTCCAAGATCAAGGTGCTGACAGATTGGGTGTAGTGAAGACCCGTTCATAAATGGCACCTTCTCACTGTGTCCTCACATGGTGGATGGGGCAACAGGCTCTCTTAGGCTTCTTTTATAAGGGCAATAATTCAGGAAGGTTCCACACTTATGACAGAATTACCTCCTAAAGACCCCACTTCCAAATACTATCAACTTGAGGATTAGGTTTCAACATACAAATTTTGGAGGTACACATTCAGATTATGACAGCACTCATAGGTTATCTTTCATCTTTGGGTTCTCAGTGCCTGCCACACAGCACAAGAACAGTAAGTGTATGCTGAATGAATACAGATGAATGAACCTTTCCCCATCCTCAGATACTTCCTAACTGAGCTCCACTATCAACAAACTTCTAGAGCACATTATTTTTTCCCTTATGATCTGGTTAGGTGGGTTTTTCTTCCACATATCACACTAATCCAGTGGTCCTCAAAATTGTGTGCCCGTTAGAATCCTCTGGAGGGGTTGTAAAAATAGTTTGCTGGGTCCTAACCCGAGTTTCTGATTTAGGAGGTTTGGGATGGGGACACCAGAATTTGCATTTCTAACAAGTCCAGAGGTGATGTTGATACTGCTGGCTAGCAACTCTACCTTATAAACCACTGCACATTAAACTCTTGAGGGTAGAGACTGTCTTCCTCATTTCAGTATCTGCTGAAGCCTCTGGCATAGTGCCTGGCACACAGGAGCTGCTCAAGAAATAGTTGATTGAATAATAGTTCAAAAAAGTTTATTTTAGTGAAGCTAAATTACAAGTATATGGATGTGTGTGTATATGTGATTAAATGAGCTATTACATGTAAAAGCTCTTAAAACATGGCACATAGTAAGCTGTTGCTTTAAAAAAAATCAAAAATGTAACCTTTCTTTGCTTTTCTTCTAAAATGACACCAACCATCCTACATGTGTGCTCTTAAAGAGTGAGACTCTGTCTCAAAAAAAAAAAAAAAAAGCTTATATGTTAAAATAATGGAATCTTAGTATTAAAAGCCTCTTTTAAAGTTAATCTAGGCCAGATGTGGTTGCTCATGCCTGTAATCCCAGCACCTGGGGAAGCCGAGGTGGGTGGATCACTTGAGGTCAGGAGTTCAAGACCAGCCTGTTCAATATGGTAAAACCCTGTTTCTACTAAAAATACAAAAATTAGCCCTGCGTGATGGTGCGTACCTGTAGTTGCAGATACTTTGGAGGCTGAGGCAGGAGAATTGCTTGAACCCGGGAGGTAGAGGTTACAGTGAGCTGAGAAGATTGTACCACTGCACTCCAGCCTGGGCAAAAAAAAAAAAAAAAAAAAAAGGTAATCTAGTTAGTCAATATTTCAATATTGAGCTTCAAAAATTTTTTAAACATTGGTTGAGTGTTTTCTACATACAGAAAGATACAGCAGAGAGCATAGACACAATCCTTGCCCTCCCAGGTGTATACCCAGTGAGAAAGTGAGGAGCACAGAGTATGTGCAAGTATAAGAATACTAAGTTTTGAGAGTAGACAGCAACTATGAAAATATTCCGTGATATCGATGCAACTCAGTCTTCATTAATCGTTTTCATCGGAGCACATCTTTTTCACATTTTGTAAAATAATGCTTGGTATGGGCCCAAGGAATATCTAATAAATATTAAAAGTGAAGTTAATAATTTTTTTGAAAGCCATATGATTGATATTCTTAAATGTAACCAATAGAAACAAGGAATTTGGCCTGTGCACGTATTTGCACATTTATGGTACAGGCATTTACATGAAGGTGCCTGTCATTTGTGACACAGACTTCTCAAGTTTCAGAAGGAACAGATGTTTCTAGATGGAATAATATGGAGCTTGCCATTATAAGAATCCTGTGATAAATCCTTTCATAAAATAAATATGTCTGAATTATTTCTTGTTATACATTTTCACTCCTGGATAATCTAAAGTAGAACACAAAGATTGTCCATAAACTGTTCATTCAAAACTATATAAAAAGAATCACTGTTGCTAAATTCTGGATTCTTACTGTTGCTTTTTCTTACTAGCATGGGGTTTGGGACAAGTCACCTTTTAAAATTTTTTAATTTAAATTTTCCTAAGTGAATTAACACAGGAAGTCATTCACCTTTCTTTGCCTCAATCAACGCATTTGTAAAATGGTAAATTAGTAGCGTCTACTTCATTGATCAGTCACTAGCAGTTTCTGAAGTCACTGTCTGGCAGTCAGTAGATATTACCTCTGTAACCAGTCTTGTGCAGCTCTCTGTAATGTGATATGGTAGAGGACTAAAATGCTAAAGCACAAGGGTGAATTCTAGGCCCACCTGAGCCAGTGATCAGTTGATGACAAGTCACATAGTCTCTTTGAGCCTGGGTAAAATGAGGAGACTGGATTTGCTCTTGTACCTTCCCAATCCCTGGCTCCACTAGCTGTTGGCCACCTTAGACTTGAAGGTCCATTCACTGCTGCTTGCCCTTGAAGCTCAACTGCTGGCCACAGCTTTACACTCCTGGGAAGCTAGTCCCCTATTTGGAGGCTGAGCTGGTGACACTGGTTCCACTGGGTCAGAGCTGAGGCTCCACTGGGCATGGGGCATTTATGTTGCCATGAGTCACACTAGGGTAGGGATGGAGGACAAGTCACAGAAGATTGTTGGGTTTTGTTGGCCACTTTCCTTTTCTTTTTTTTTCCTTTTTTTTATCCCTTTGAAACAGAAGACCATGGAGTACAATCTGGTATCTGCCTTCAGACTTGGGACGATACCTTTGTTTTACAATACTCAGAGTGGCTGTAAGAAAGCTGAGGCCACAGGTCACTAGCAGGTCCTAAAGTCTGAAAATCACTGGGAAAATTTGACTTTTTATATGCTAATAATTGAGTACTGACAACTCTGGAGGGAGCTTTCCAATTCTTTCATCATGAAATTGGACTTTGTATATTGAGGAGGGGTTCATGGATTCATGGTAACCTACAAATCTTCACTGCGGCCTGAACCAAAGGAATAGCTACAGTTGGATTTTCCTAAAAAGAGTAAGATAGTCCCAGGCCTCCCTTCTCAAATAAGTTATCAAGCAGGTGGACTCTGCCAGTCAGGGGTCCCAGTCAGTCCCTGGGGCCCTGGGGCGCTGCGGGCCTCCTGCGAGGACTGCGCATCCCAACAGTGCCTTCGGCTCTTGGTGGGGCACCGGCGGTACGTCCGAACCTCCAGCCCGCCTGGTCAGGTGGCCGCGGGCCCAGGCATTTCCCAGGATTCATTCATTCGTTCATTCGTTCATTCGTTCATTCAGCAGGTATTTCCCGAGCGCCCTCCTCCTGTGTAGGTGACAGAAACTGGGAGGCGAGCGAGCCAGGCAAAGCCCGGCTTCCCTGACGCTCCCGGCGGCGGCGGGGGCGGAGAAGCGACCTCAGCCCCACGGCTCAAACAGCTGGCGCGGACCGCGCTCTCGCCCTGGGCCGGCGGCCTCAGCGCCCCCCGAATGAACACCTTCCGCCAGCCGGCCGCCCCGCGAGGCGGGCCGTGTCGTGGCCCCGGTACACGGAGGGGGACGAAGAGGCCCGGAGCAGGGCCCGTCTCGGCCTGTGCTCGGAGCCAGGCGGCAGGGACCGCGGGCCGGCGGGCGGCGCGGGGACGGCTGCGCTCCCGCCCTCCGCCAGCGCCTGGCGGCCGCCCCACGTGACGGGAAGCGGCGGCTGCGGGGTCGGGCCAGCCCAGGAGCCGCGGGCCGGAGCGGGGCGGCGGGGCCCCAGGCCGCGGGGCGGCGCGGGACGGCGGGCGCCGGCGCCGGTGAGTGCGGAGGGCAGTGGGGCGTGGGGTGCGGGGCTCAGGGCGCGGGGCGCGTGGGGCAGGAGAGCGGGGAGCAGGAGGGTGGGGGCAGGCGGCGGGGCGGGGTGGAGGGCGAGCCCGTGCGTGTGCGCTGGGGCAGGTGTAGTGGGGGCTGGAAGGCGGGGATGGGGGAGCAAGTGGCTATACACTTGGGGGCAGGTGTGCAGGTGTGCGACTTGGTAGGTGTCCCTTGTGGGGGCCAGCTAGCCTGCTGGGGTGAGCAAGTGAGTGTTCCTGTGTGTGTGGTATGAGGTGTGCACGGGTGTGGGGTCAGCAAGTGTGTATGTTGTGTGTGAGGAGTACGTGTGTGTTTAGGGAAAGGGAAGACCTGAGAGACCTCGTCCTTGATTTGGGTTTTCCGGGGAGAACGGCCAGGAAGGACTTGCACCTCCATCCCAGGTATGGAAGGGTTTTGGCGCTGTGATTGAGGTTTCTCGGAGCGCTTTGGATTTGAGAGCTCAAATTCGGGTCACACTCCGGCCTCAATTGTCCTGACCTGGAGAGTAGGCAGGGCTGTGTT